GAGAAATCATTCCCTAGGGAAGATAGCCATGGTGCAATCCTCTCTCCATTCTCCTCTCAGAATTTTGGGCACACAGGCACATGAGCCCTGTGTGTTCTCCAAGTCGCTGGTTCCAGAACTCAGACCATGCAGTCAGCCATGTGGGATCCAGCAACCTTAACCATCATGCAACCTGCTGGCTCCAGGAACGGTTATGTTTTCTAAAAGCATAGCCTTATTTATTTATGACAGAAGGGACATTTGTGTGAGAGAGAAGACACCTCTCCTGGAGTCTGATCACACCACAATCTTTTCCAGTTCTCCACTTTGTCAGGATCCTGAGCATGGCTGTGCACCTGGTGTGAGGCTGATGAGGCTGGATTCAAACTCTAGCTGGCCTTGTAGTATCTGACTTTCCTCTGTATGGCACCTGACCACTGCACTTATGGGGCTGGCTCTGGCATGATTATTTTTAGTGAGTGACACTGCCAGGAACACACTGAAGAAATGAATACTACAGATTTGCAAATGCTGAGGCAGTAATAAGTTAAAGGCAGATTTATTGCATAGCTGAGAGAACTGACAAGTGATTATAGCAAGGTTGTAGGATAAAAGCTTAATATGTAAAAGTCAATCACTTCAGGGCCAGCAGGTGACATGGTGGTTAAGGGTCCTGGACTCCTACATAGCTGACTACGGTTTGAGTCCCAGACCTGGTGGCTTGCTTTCACACTTTCTCTCTCTCTTCTTCTCACTCTCGCTCTGTTCCTCTCTGGTCAAATTAAAAAAAAAAAAAAAAAGTCAATCACTTCATATATACCAACAATGAACAAGAGGGATTTGAAATTTAAAACATAATACTACTGGAATGGTCCTAAAGTACAGAGGTTCAGCATTGTGCATAGAAAGAAAAATCCCACATATTCGACTGTGATTTGAGTCCTAGCCTTGGTGGCTTGAAAACTGTGCCAGGCATGCATGCATATATACCCAAAATCCTGATGGGATAGAGAAAGAGAGGAAAGAGGACTGTAGTGTGATCATGCCTCACTGAGGGGTGCTCTCTCTGTTTGGCAAGCACATATGCCCTCTGGCAGTAAAAAATAAATAAAGGTTTGTCAATTAAAAAGAAAAAACATAATGCCATTTACATTAGCACTAAAAAACGAAGTATTAGGTATAAATCTAACAAAATATGTGCAAGACTATATGAGGAAAACCACGAAACTGAAGAAATAAATAAAAGAACTACATAAGTGAAGAGCTATTCCATGTTCATAAATAGAAAAGATTCAATATTACCAGTGTCGGTTCTTCACAACTTCATCTATGGATTCAATGAAATCCTGATCAATATGTCAGCAACAGGGCTGGCAGGTGGCATGGTGGTTAAAGCACTGGACTCCTACATGGCTGAGTGCAGATCAAGTCCCGGACCTGGTGGCTTACTTTCCCACTCTCCTTTTCTCTGTCTCTCTCTGCTCAAACTGAATTCTACTACTACTACTTTTTTAAAAATTTTAATTAAAAAAAAAAGTGTCAGCAACTTCTGTAGATATCAACAAACTGATTCGAAAGTTTATGTAAAGAGGCAAGAGAACCAAAATAGCCAACAAAACATTGTAGGAGAAGAACAAAATCGGAGGACTGACACTATCTGACTCAAGATTCATTATAAAGCTATGGCAATTGGGGCCAGCAGGTAGTGTGGTGGTTAAGGGCACTGGACTCCCACATGGCTGACAGTGGTTCAAGTCCTGGACCTCGTGGCTTGCCTTCTCACTTTTCATCTCTTTCTCTCTCACTGTTTTGTTCTCACTATGTCCCTCTCACTCTGTCCCTCTATGGTGAAATTAAAATAAATAAATTTAAAAAGTTAAATACAAAATAATTCCTTTTAAAAAAAATAGCTATGATAATCAAGACTGCAATATATACATTTTTTTTTTTTTGGAGAGGTTTTTGCTATAGGAAATGTGCACTTGCCAGAAAGACAGAGAGAGACAGAGACAGAAAGCCCCCGGGGGGATAGCCACATCGCAGTCCCTTCTCCTTTATTCTCCTCTCAGGATCTTGGGTACGCACGCACACGCAGCTGGCATGAGTTTAAACAACCGGGTCTGGGACTTGAACTGCAGCTAACTACATGGGAATCCAATGACATAGCCATTTCGCCAACTGCTGATCCCAAGACTGTGCAATATTAATCCAAAAAAAAAAAAAGTAGAGCAGAAAAGAGAGCCTCAGAAATAGACCCACATGGATATAGTTCACTGATTTTTTTTTGAGAAGTTTTTGCTATAAGGCGCGTGTGCTCGCCAGAGACACAGAGACAGAGAGACAGAAAGCGAGAAATCACCCCCCCAGAGGGAATGGCCACACTGCAATCCCTTCTCCTCCATTCTCCTCTTGGGATCTTGGGCACACACACACATGTGCCTCGTGTGAGTTTAAGCCACCCGGTCCAGGACTCGAACCGTGGTCAACTACATGGGAGTTCAGCGACATAGCCATTACACTAACTGCTGGTCCCAGTGCACTGATTTTGATAAAAGAGAGTAGCAATACAACAGAGGAAAAAACAGCCTTTTTCAACAAATAGTGCAGAAACAATTGAATATATACATATAAAATATGGATCTAGACGCCCTTCACAAAATTAACTCAAAGTGGATCACAGACCTAAGTGTAAAATGCAAAATTATTAAATTCCTCAATGATAACATAGGAGAAAGTGTAGATGACCTTGGATTTGGGCTTGAGTTTTTGGATATGATACCATGAAATAAAGAACCAATGGGCTGGTCTTAATTAAAATTAAAATGTTCTGCTCTGTGAAATATAGTTAAGATAATGAAAAGATAAGCCTGACTAGAAGAAAATATTTGGAAAAGACATATCTGATAAAGAACTGTTTTCTAAAATCCACAAACAACTCTTAAAACTCATCAGTAAGGAAACAAACAACTTAATTAAAAAACAGGCCAAAAACCTTAAGCAGACTCCTCACCAAAGAAAATATATGAATGACAAATGTTTACATCAGTGAGATTAGACCACACACCTATTAGAATGGTGAAAATTCAAAACACTGACCACTACAAAGTCTGATAAAGATGTAAAGCAACGGGAACTCTATTGGGAATGCAGTTTGGTTTGTTCTTACAAAACCAAACATACTTGTTCCATATGATCCACCAATTGTATGCATTGGTATTTACCCCAAGGAGCTAAAAATAAAAATGAATATTCACTCAAAAACATGCACATGAATCCTTACAGCAGCTCTATTCATAACTGCCAAAACTGAGAAGCAACCAAGATGTCCTTCAGTAGGTGAATGGATACAAACTGGTTTGTACAGACAACAGAACATTACTCATCACTAACATGAAATAAGCTAACAGATCATGAACAGACAGAAAGAAACCTAATGAACAGGACTAAGTGAAAGAAACCAATCTGAAAAGCTACATACTATCTAATTCCATTTCTGTGACATTATACAAAAGGCAAAACTAGAGACAGTAAAAAGATGAGTGGTTGCCAAAGGTGAAAGGGGAGAAGGATGCACAGATAGAGCACAGAGGACTTTGAGGACAGTGAAGCTACTCTGTATGATATTATGATGGGGATACACACCATTGTATGTTTGTCCAAACCCACAGAATGGACAACACCAAGAGTGAGCCCTAATTAAAACTGCAGGCTCATCCGTGTGATATATGTACCACTCTGGTGGGATGTTGATAATGAATGAGGCTGTGCACATATAGAGTAGAAGTATACAAGAAATCTTATGTATTCTACCCCAATTTTGCTATGAATCTAAAATTGCTCTAAAAAATAAGTCTCTTAAAATTTTTAAAAAATGTTTTTAAACTATCTTACTTCTATCAGAAGATCTAACACTGTAAGTACTAGGTTAGGGTTCCTCCCTCTCTTAAAAGAAAAGTAATAATAATTATATATATATATATATGTATGTATACACACGTATATATGTGTGAAAAAATATACATATATACACATACATACATATTGACATTGACAATATTGAATCTCCCTATCCATGAACATGGAATGGCTCTTCACTTATATAGTTATTTGTTTTTTATTTGCTATAGGGCATGTGCACTTGCTAGAGAAAGAGACAGAAAGTGTGAAAGCATTACCCAGGGGGGATGACCATGCCATAATCCCCTCTCCTCCATTTTCCTCTAGGATTTTGGGCACGCATACACATACATCCAGCTACCAGGTCTGGGACACGGAACTGCATAGTCAGTCATGTGGGATCCAGCCTAGTCATCTCAACCACTATGCCACCTAGCTGATTCAAATATGGTATGTCCTATAGTTTGTTGTGAGACTGTGAGGGAGTTGCAGTGGTGCTTATATGTGGCTAAGAACATATTTAAGTTAACTTAAAGTACTATTATCCCATATCCATCCCTACACTTTGCCTGTTTAAAGACAATACAATCAGGAACCAGCAGTTAGCGTAATGGCTATGTCACTGGACTCCCATGTAGTCGACTGCGGTTCGCATCCCAGACCTGGTGGCTTAAAACTCACGCCGGGCGCGTGTGCATGTGTGCACAAGATCCCGAGAGCAGAATGGAGGAGAAGGGATTGCGGCGTGACCATCCTCCCTGGGGGGTGATTTCTTGCTTCTGTCTCTATGTCTCTCTCTGTCTGGCGAGCGCACACGCCCTATAGTGAAAACCTCTCAAAAAAAAAAAAAAAAAGACAATACAATCTAGTAGATCAACACTAATATGAAACTAAAAAATAACCTTCATTATAAAATTGCAAGTGAGATTAAAAACTACAGTATTCAGCTGTTCAAAAAACTAACCAGGATGAGAAGAAAAGAAAAATAAGTATTAACTAGGTAATACTAAATTTATAACCATAATACAGTCAGGAGAAAACAGAAAATGAAATTGGGAGTATAAAAATAAATTAGTCAATAAAATTTGAAATAAATAAAAGAAACTTTCCCCCTTTCACAGTACCTTTGATAAGTCGATACCACTGTTTACAGACAAGGGCTGCAGTTTTGTGTTCCTGATATGGTGAGAGAAAGGACAGGATATACTCCAACACCTCTTCTGGCAGCTCTGACATGGACCTATTATGTCTAGTCTCCTCAACTTCTGGGACTGGGTGGGGCTCCTCATCTTGCTCCATTGTCCCTTCCAGCACAGTTTCTTCTTGGTCCACAGCCATGAAACTGTCATCTTCACTGTCCGAGGAGCTGGCCATGTCAAGTGGAAACTTGACAGCTATAGTAGGTAAGAAACAAATATCAGTATACAACTGTTAAAAGCTCCAAAACAACTCAGGCAGGTGCATCCAAGCTGTTCAGAAGTTTTTTCCACACTCAGTCTGCTACTTAGCACTTTCCCAACTAGTTGTGAACCACCTTAGGTTGACAGGAATAGTTCAAATAACAGGATCATCCCCAAAGGCTTCTGATTACATATTTTTTTCTCTCCACTGAAAATCAGAATAGCTGCTGAGTTATGATATAAGCATATAACCAGAAAATTTGTTCTCCAACAATTCCTAACTTAAGAATCTGACTGATGTGGGACCAGCAGTTGGCGTAATGGCTATGTCGCTGGACTCCCATATAGTCAACTGTGGTTCAAGTCCCAGACTTGATGGTTTAAACTCATGCCAGGCATGTGTGCGTGCATGCCCAAGATCCCTAGAGGAGAATGGAGGAGAAGGGACTGTGGTGTGGGAGGGGGTGTGGGGGTGGCCACTCTCCCCGGGGGGGGGGGGGGTGATTTCTCACTTTCTGTCTCTCTCTGTCTCTCTGGTGAGCACACATGTCCTATAACAAAATCCTCTCAAAAAAAAAATAAAATAAAATAAAAAAGAATTTGACTGACAAACAGCAAAGGGAACAGTGACCAATTACAGTGATCCAAGACCTCAAGCTTAAAAGGGAAAACTATTACCTGAAAGGGGTAATAAGAACATTCAGAGGATGTAGGTTAAGAAATAATAATTTTGGGACCAGCAGTTAGCGTAATGGCTATGTTACTGGACTCCCACGTAGTCAACCGCGGTTCGTGTCCCGGACCCGGTGGCTTAAACTCACGCCAGGCACGTGTGCGTGCGTGCCCAAGATTCCAAGAGGAGAATGGAGGAGAAGGGATTGCAGCATGGCCATCCCCCCTGGGGGGTGATTTCTCGCTTTCTGTCTCTCTCTGTCTGGCGAGCGCACGCGCCCTATAGCAAAAAACCTCTCAAAAAAAAATTAAGGGAACCAGCAGTTAGCGTAATGGCTATGTTGCTGGACTCCCATGAAGTCGACCGCGGTTCGCGTCCTGGACCTGGTGGCTTAAAACTCACACCGGGCGTGTGTGTGTGCGTGCCCAAGATCCCGAGAGGAGAATGGAGGAGAAGGGATTGCGGCGTTACCATCCCCCCTGGGGGTT